GTCCTATGGACAACTTATTTAAAAATATTTCAGATATCAAAATTCTAGCTGTATGATTTGTTTTGAATTTTTTTTTTTTTTTTTTTTTTAATTTTCAAGAGGGCAAGTGGATAGTAATTTGTCAGCATTCTGCCAGGCAAATTCACTGTTTCACTGAAGCGTTTGGATTCTCTTAGCTACTGTATGCGATGTCCGATTATATTGGTGCGTTTTTACAGTTAGGGTTTTGCAATAACTTCTATATTTTAATAGAAATGAATTCCTAAATCCTCTTCCCTCTCCCTCATTTCAGGAATTTAAAATTAAGTAGAACAAAAACCCAGCGCACCTGTTAAAGTCGTCACTCTCTATTGTCATGGGAATCAACTTTCATTAAACTTGAAGCAGTCTGACATCGGCAGTGTTTTGGTTCAGACACCTGTTCACAGAAAAGCATGATGGGAAAATATTTCCTGACTTGAGTGTTCCTTTTTAAATGTGAATTTTTATTTCTTTTTAATTATTTTAAAATATTTAAACCTTTTTCTTGATCTTAAAGATCGTGTAGATTGGGGTTGGGGAGGGATGAAGGGTGAGTGCGTCTAAGGATAATGAAATAATCAGTGACTGAAACCATTTTCCCATCATCCTTTGTTCTGAGCATTCTCTGTACCCTTTAAGATATCCATCTTTTCTTTTTATACCCCAGTCTTTCACTTGAAAGATTTTATTGTATAAAAAGTTCCACAGGTCAGTAAATTTAGAGGAAAATGAGTATTTGGTCCAAAAAAAGGAAAAATAATCAAGATTTTAGGGCTTTTATTTTTTTCTTTTGTAATTGTGTAAAAAATGGAAAAAAACATAAAAAGCAGAATTTTAATGTGAAAACATTTTTTGCTATAATCATTAGTTTTAGAGGCATTGTTAGTTTAGCGTGTGTGCAGAGTCCATTTCCCACATCTTTCCTCAAGTATCTTCTATTTTTATCATGAATTCCCTTTTAATCAACTGTAGGTTATTTAAAATAAATTCCTACAACTTAACGGAAACTTAAGTGTCTGCCTTATTGTTAGCAAGGGCCCCAAGCCAGAAGTTCGAGTTCTGGGGCTGGGAGGTAGTATGGGATGTGGTCTACCATTCTGGTCAGCAAGGCTGTGTTGTCCTCAGGAGCAGATGGGTCAGGGCAGAGCCTGGCCTGGAAGGGTGTGGGTGTGGGTTACAGGGGATCCAAAGTCCACATCCCTAGATAAAGACAGGCGCAGAAAGGAAGGAAGGGTGCAGAAATCCACAAGAACAGGTGGGGTGCAAGAACTGTATCTGAGGCCTAGTGTAGGTAATGTTTATTGAGCAGGATGGAGCAGGTATATTTGGGAGGCAGATTTTTGGAGAGCTTTCTGTGTATACTGGCCAGAAGCAGAGGGCTTCTTTGGGTTTGCTTATGTGGCTAAGTCAGGATGGGGAGAATTAATTAAGGCTACAAAGCCAATCAGAAGCCCCTTCCCAGGTGGAATGTTGACTTCTCCCTGCATTGATCTGGTTAAATTGAGAGAGGGAGTGGTCTTTGACCACTTCCCAGTGCTCCAGGTACCCTAGCTGGCCATGGTCTCTACAAAAATTATTTCTCTTCTAGGTTACAGCTGTCTGGAATTCAAGATGAAAGGTGAGGTCTCTAGGTCAAATGGAGCAGGGACCAGGAAGGCCAGAGGGGTAAGAGCCATTCACTTAATGGAAGGGATCTGGGCCCTCAGCTTGTTAGCACAGGCAGGAATCTTCAGGGAGACAAGCTATCTTCTTAATGGTCTCTGTTCTCTCTGGGGCTAGAGGCAGGGCTGGTACTGGGCTCACAGCAGAAAATCCTAGAGGTCCTTGGCAGCCTGTATTTTTATAGGCCAGTGAGAAAGGCAGCATTCACCCCAGGGAATAAAGGGAGTTATGCAGCCATCATTGCTTTGAAGCAAGAGACTGCAGCAGGTACTTTTGAATTCTGTGGTATTAAGGTAGCTGGACCATTGACTGTAGGAATAGCAACAGAGAGGCTCTTACAGTGCCCAATTAATATACTATGGCTAGTGGGTAGGTGATGATTAAGTAGACCTAAGGTTTGGGACTTGGGCAGGAACCTTGATCCACAGCTAGAAAGCAGGGATAGGAAGCCTTACAGGCAGAAGACCCTGCTGATGGGCAGGCAGTAGTGCCTACCACTCTGGCAAGGACCTCCCTTGCAAGACTTCTGAGGGCAGGTTCAGGGCAACTAGATGCTGCTGGTCAAGACACTGGGAAAAGCATCCCAGGCAGTGGCAAGAGGCTTGGGAGAACAAAGCCAGAGAATGGGAAGCTGATCTAGCCACAGGGGATGAGAGAAGAAGCTGAAAAGGTAGGCTGGGGCCAGATGTAAAAGGCCTTGGAGGATGCTTGAGCCTAGAGTCAGAGGTAAGCCCTACCCCCCCTTGCCTAATCCTGTATGTCTCACTTCTAGCCATGTCCAAGAACAGAGGCCAGATGGGCAGGGTCTGAAAAACTCCCTCCTGTCAGACCCTCCTATGATGCCTGAGTCCAGCTGTGGGCAAAGGGAATGTCTTCCACATGCTACCCACGCCAGACATCTGGGTGCTGACTTGGCTCCTCTCTCCCTTGTCCCCGTAACCTGGTCAGCAAGTTCTGTCTTCCTCCCTGCCAAAAGTTGTCAAATTGCTTTACGCCTCTGCCACATTAAAAACTGAAAAACTTAACAATCCTCAGTCCTCTTCAGCCACTAACTCTCCCTTGTTTCCCAAACAAGCACCTACAGTGAGTCAGCCACACTGCCCACCCATGGCTCGGAGCTTCTGTCCCATCTGCCCCCCATTCTTCCTTCTCTCTGACCACCATCACTAGTGACTAAGTGACCGAACAAATAAATGGGCTCTTCATTTTGCATTAAGCTCTTTGTGGCACTGGACACTGTTGGGCATTGTTGACCACTCCTTCCACCATTTCAAGTGCACAATGATTTTTAGTAACTATACTGATTGGTGCAGCCAACACTATAAATCAGTTTTAGAACATTTTCATCCCCCTTGTAAGACCCCCTCATGCCCATTTATTTATAGTTAATCCACATCCCACACCCGGCACTAATCTATCTCTAAATTGTATTCTGGACATTGCATGTAAATCGAATCATGCATGTGACCCCTCTGTTCTAAAAACACTTCTGTGGTTTTCTGGATGCCACCCTCTCCTGGTTTTACTCCTATCAGGCTGTGGCTAAGTCACCTCTATCAGGTCCTTAAGTGCCATGTTCGTCTTACTCAGGCTAGCTGATTTCATTCACACCAAAGGGTGATGACTTCTGTGTTTCTATCTCCAACCTAGACCCCCTTTCTGAGCTCCAGACATACGCTGCCAACTACATCTCTGTAGGGGATGTCCACAGGCACCTCAATCTCAACATCTCTGGAACCGAGCTCAGTACCTACTACTCCAGGCCTGTTGAGCCTGGGTTTCCCATCTCAGTGAAGGGTACCATGTCTGCTCTGTCCCAGCTCAGAAACTATGGTAGCCACCATCCTTAATTCCTTTCTTTCTCTCATTTCCACATCCAGTAAATTACTGACTCTAAAATCACCTCCTAAATACCATATATGGTACATAAATAGGTATTTCCCTGCAGACAAAATTTTTTTTTGTCTAAGAGTTGACTTACATTTTAGTTTTTACAGATTCCTCAAATAATGAGACACTCTTGACTTGTTTTGAACCAAAGAGCAGTTTTTGGAGAAAACACATTACCCTGAAATGACCTCAGTCAAGCTAGTATTGGATGCTTGTAAGTAGTCTCCTGACAAAACCAGTAAACAAGGAGACAAGTTTAACACAGAGTTAGCAATTATTTCTCACAATCTCAAGTATTCCTTGTAAGTATTCCGTGTAAACGAGCCTCTTAAAGATCACTAATAGCAAGACTGATTTTTTTTAAGCTTTGATAATTATACTGCGATTACATATATTTTTAAAAGGCTCTTTTAGAAAAACTGAAACATTAATAGTAATGGATAACATGACAGAGTTGAGATTTGTATCAAAACAATATGGGAGGAGTTAGTGGGTAGAGTTTGGCATGACACCAGAGGGGCCACCAATTCATTGTTGAAGTGGGATGAGTTCACCATACTATCCTGTCTACACATAGAAACTTTTGAGATTTTTCATGAAATGTTTAAAGCAATATGATAACAGGTTATTATGAAGATCATTAAGAGAAATAAAGAGAAACCCAATCTGTTTTAATGTTATACTAAAAGGCAATTATGCTTAGGTTAAAATTTCCAGTGATAGCATCACATGCTAATTCATAAAGTATTCTCTCAGTAACATGGATGAATTTCAAAACATGCTTAACGTCGATACAAGAGTACATACTTTGTTTCCATTTATGTGAAATTCTAGAATAGGCAAAATTAATCTGTAGAAACAGAAAGTAAATCAGTGATTGCCAGATGGGGAAAGGGGAGACTGACTACAAAGGGACATGAGGAAACTTTCTGGGTGATGGAAATGTTCTATCTTGATTGGCTGGAGGCTAGTAGCCTTTTATTAAAAGGATTTGTTCCGTACAATTTGGATTCAGTCAAAAGGCTACACTCCAGGGCCTAGAAGTCCACATGTGGCCTTTAGGCCTCAGGTTCCCCGCCCCTGGAAGCTCAAACTTTATACTTAAAGTGGGTGCATTTTATTACATGTAAGTTATTCCTCAACAAAATTGATATTTGCAAAGTGCTCTCTCTCAAACAATTTAGAAGGCAGGGAAGGTGATGTGGTTTGAGAAACAGATGACTCAGAACATATCTCTCATGGTGAAAAAAACATAGAAATCAAAGATTTATGTAAAGAGTTGAACATAATTTATTACCGGAAATGTGTGAGAAAAATCAATATTCATGAATATATTGTTTTAAATAAGATGTGATTTTATGTATGTGTAACTAAATATTATACATAATATATCATATATATAACATGTATATTGTATATCATATGTATGTCCACTGTTATATGTGGACATTGGAATCATTTATTTCTAAAAATGTTTATATTTTAATTGCAAAAATACCCCACAAAACACCGTGGAGTGACCCTATCATGAAAACAAGTGTTCACCCTATATTTGTAGCAGCTATATCTTCAGGCATTTACACTATCTCACTTTACTGTATCCCTACAGCAACCAACAGGCCCAGATAAGGCCAGGTGTTCCTTCTTAGTGCTCTAGGGGCCCTTATCGCACTGAATCATCATGGTCTGCTGGCATGTCTATATTCACTGCTGTAGTGGGAACTTGGCCTGATTCAGCTTTGCTGTCTCAGTGCTCTAGAGGAGGCATCAGGGATGTTTGCTGGAGAAAGAGAAAAAAAACAGGTCTGTCCTGGCTGGGGCCAGTGGCTAGCAAGGGCTTTCCCCTTCTCTTTTTTCAGTGCCACACTTCACCTCAGTGAAGCCATGACAGTAGTAGCCCACCTCCCCCCACCCCCAGCTGGAAAGCCTCAACATCTGGGGCCTATTCTGGGGGCCAATCAGGGAGGTGGCAAGGTCTATGGAGAGAGCAGAGTCCCTGGGAGTGGCGGAGCAAGGTGTGATTTTGCCTCCAGTGAGCGAAACCCACTTGAGTCTTGAAGGACTGAAAATATATCCCAGGTGAAGAGGAAAGCAGGTGGACATAACCTAAGACATGTGAGGCCCAACAACAAAACTGGAGCCCTACATAGATTTGGGGGCCAGAGGTCAAGAGCCTAGACAGTAAGTTGTGGGTGGCGCTCAAAGTGCACTGAGCTGAGTACTTAGGAAGCACTGGCTGTGTGCTGAGGAGCAGGCTAGCTCACCAACCCAGAGGGGGCTGCTCAGACAGTTAACAGGAAACTGAGTACTAATTAAGAACAATTTAGAGAAAAGGGCAAAGTTCTATGCATCAATCAAATTAGACACTACGAGACTATAAATTCTCCCTTTGAGTGTGCAAGGGGCTTGTCTTCTATATTCATTCAAGGTCATTACAAGGAGCAAAGGAAAACCACATCAGCACTTTCTAATAATCTGTTAAGAACATGTTCCACTATTTCAATCAAATAACTGTAAGAAACTTCTTTTATAATTTAAACCCAGGAAAGTTTTCTCCCCCAAGGAGGCAGTTATCAGAATAGAGTTATTGCTTTGGCTACCAGGAAGCTCAGCCACATATGAATATAATTCAAAGCAATAACTCTTTCCCAACCACAGCAGCTACATTAACCCATAAAGCATGTTATGGTCCTCCTTATGATCTCAAATCCCATTTCAATAGTACAATACTTTTGTTTTTTTGTTTTGAAGTACTCAAAACTTCTTTTAAAGGGCTAGAGAAGAGTACATTTGTGGTGGGTGTTGCAATGTGCCACCCAGATCCCCTTCAAGGAAGGACTTGTTACTCCAACTATTGGGAGAGCTGTCAGCAGAAAACCTTCAGCTGTCAGCCCCTGAAAGATCACCACAGCTGCACAGAACCATCTGGCCAACACTGGGCCAGAGGCTGGGCTGCTCCCCAGACAACCCACATCCATTTCAGGCCAGTGCCGGACAACAGAGCTCCCTGGGGGTTGGCTGAGATGGTCATCAAGCCTGCATTGCAGTGTTTTGTTTTGTTTTGAGACAGTCTCCCTCTGTTGCCCTTGGTAGAGTGCAGGGGCATCACTGTAGCTCATAGCAACCTCAAACTCCTGGGCTCAAGCAATCCTCTTACCTCAGCCTACTGAGTATCTGGGACTACAGGTGCATGCCACGATGTCCGGCTAATTTTTCTATTTTTAGTAGAGACGGGGTCTAACTCTTGCTCAGGCTGGTCTCAAACTCCTGGAGCTCAAGTAATCCTCCCACCTCAGCCTCCCAGAGTGCTAGGATTACAGGTGTGAACCACTCTTCATTGTAGTTTAATTTTTCTGGAAGCCCACTTGTTTCCTTCCTGTCCCTTCCATGGTGTTGATCCCAGAGGCACTCCCTACTAAACACTAGCCTGTCACAGAGCCTACTTCCCAAACAACACAACCTGTGACAACACTGAACAAGTATTTTGGAAAGGGATGAGGATACACAACAAGTGTTCATACAATACATGGGAGGCAAAACAGCACTCACCCTGGAGCCAGACTGCCTGGGTTAGTATCTTGTCTCTGCTACCTGTTAGCTATGTGACCATGGGCAAGTCTCTAATCTCTCTGTATCTCAGTTTTCTCATCTGTAAAGTGAGGATAATATGAGTACTTATCTCATAGGGCTGTAATGAGGAAAAAATGAGCCAATATGGATAAGCAGTTACACAGTGTTTACTATATGCCAACCACTGTTCTAAGCGGTTATTAATTAAATACAATAAACAGCTGTGAAGCCAAGCACACAAGGGCATTTGGGCTGGGACTCTCCTCAAACAGGAGGCACTCATCTCTCCAGGCACAGGCATTTTATAGGCCAGGGCATGCTGAAACATGCACGCACACGGAAATAGGCCCAAACAGGACTAGCCTGGGTGATGTCACAGGCGTATGCCTTATGTGGGTGCTGGGCTGCTCCTCCCAGACAGCGCAGCTGCATACATTGCCAGTTACACCCACGCACCCATATATATGCTGAGCGGGGGGAAGCCCACACAGACCACACCCTCTGCGTGCCCTGTTTTTCCTGAAACTCCTTTGGTGGAAGGAGCCACCTGAGGCCTGCGATGCTGGCCCAGAAGCCCCAGGAGGAAATGGGCCCTGTTCCCTGGAGCAGGCCTGGCAGGCTGAAAACTCAAGCTCCTATTGGCAGGGATTTCTGGAGCTCACGGGGAGCTGCCCCAGCGGCAAGAGTAAAAGCAATGCAGGTTGGCCTGCATAGTGGGAAGCTTCCATAAAATGGACAGACAGATTTTAAAAGTGCATCACAGCCCATAGGCTGCTTGAGGCAGCACAAGAAGCTCAATAAAGGCTGCAGCACTTAGGAAGGTGCCTCCCAGAGAAATGGACAAGATCAGACAGGCAGAGAGGGTCCCCATTCAGCCTCCACCTGCCTCCCTGGCCTCACCACATCCCCATGCTCCCCCTCACTCAGTGAACTCCAGCTTTCTTTCTATACCTAAACTCAACAACCTGTTCCTGGCCTCAGGGCCTTTGTACATGCCATTACCTCTGCCTGGAAAGTACTTTCTTCCAACCCATGCTTAATGCACCTGGCCATCTATTCATTTCCTTTAGGCCTCTGCTGAGTTCTAAAGAGGTCTTCCTTGTCTACTCCATCGGAAGGAGGTCTCCCTAATGTTTGATCTCCTGGCCCTCTGTTCTTTTCCTCCCTAGCCTTTGTCACAGTTGTCTTTACATACCAGTGTTAATTTGTTGAATATCTGTGAGTTCCTGGAGAGCTGGTGCTGGGTTTCTCTTGTTCCCCTAACTCGTGTTGCCAATGCCCAGCACAGGGAAGCTCAGGGGCTGCACCACTTTAAACCCAACCTAGTCCAAGCCACGCTCTGTGAGCACTCACGTTCTGCTGGGTTCCCTGTGCGCCCAGGGCCAGCCACGGGCAGTGTTCCCCACCTGTACTGATTAACCAGCTAGCCCCCATGCCCACTGACTACTGAGCACCAGGACTTACCTAAACCAGTGGCTCTCCTGTGAGGCAGAAAACACAGGGAGTCGGGCCAACGTGGGTTCAAATTCCCACTTGTTAGTTACATGTCCTTGCAACAGAGCTTGAAACTTCTCTGAATCTCCGTTTCCTCAGCAGCAAATCCGGGAGCATCATTCCTGATTAGAGGGCAATTAAGATCAGGTGTGACCACATGCGCAAGCCCTGTAGCACGGGGCCAGGCCCTGGGTCAACTCTAGTTCCTTCCCTCCCGCTTTAAAGGCTTGCCACTAGGTGGCAGTCCATCTCAGCTACCCCACCACTCATTAGGCGACGCTGCAAGGACAACGCCTCAACTTCACGCTGAATTCTGAGCTTGAGGGAATCACAACACATCCACACGCAAGCTACCACTACAGCAACAGCAAAGCTGGAGACCCCGGACACTGTACTAGTCACTATCCAGCTGTGTGGGTTGCCTAATCACGCCCTTTTACACATGTACTCACGAATCCCAGGAAACCTGCCTTTCTCTGGCATCGGCTGGAAGCTCTGTTGGGCCTCTCACCTCTGAAATGCAGTAAGTAGTCCTGTTCTGCCTGGCAGCCGACTGCCTGGCTGGCTCAACATGTCAGACAGGCTCCACCGTGACCACAGGTGTCCTCAATTTTGGCAGTGCTGTGACAGGGCTAGACAGATTACAGGGGTGAGTTTAAAGAACCGCTTCAGAAGGGCGAAGAGCATGAATTATTCAATAGCCACAAAAAGGCCTTGTGGCTGGAGAGTGGAGAGTCCGTGGGGAGAGGAAGCTGCAGAGACAGCAGGGGCCAGATCATACAGGACCTGCAGGGCCAAGTACTGAGTGCGGCTTTTAGGTGCAGTGGGAAGTCTTGGAGGGTTTTAGGCCAGAAGTAGGGGATCATCTTTTAATTTTAAAGATTTAAAACATGGAGAACAGATCCAGGCAACGAGGGTAAATAGTCTGGGTGGGAGAAGATGGGGCTTTAGGCTTGTGGGTTGAGTGGAAAGATATCTAGGGCACAGTGATAGGTTGACCTGGGGGCCAGGCAGAGAGAAGAATCAAGATTATCTGCAAGGTTTTCGTCCTTAGCAATTTAGAGGAGTTTAGCGCCATGTTTTAGGAAAGCGAGGGCTGAGGAAGGAGCCTCTCATGGGCAGGGAAGATGAGACGCCGCACTGAGGATGTGGCGCACGCAGTGGGAAGCTGGGGCCTGGAGGGTAGTGGGGATACGAATTTGGAGTCACCGGTGCCCGCATGGTGGGCGAGGACATGGGAAAGGTCAGGTCGCCTGGGGAACGGGCCCAGCACTGGGTCCAGGGGAAGAGAAGCTTCTGAGGCCGAGAGGCAGCGGCCACAGAGGACGACGAGGGAAACAAGGTGGGGGGAAAACAAAGTTCAGGAGAACATTTGCAGGAGGGGTGCGGCAAGGTAGGGCCTGAGCTACCGGGGTGCAGGTCAGGCCTCTGGACGGTGCGGCCGCGGGTCTAAAGGCCCTGCAGGGGTTCCTCAGGCCTGGGGGGCCTCTCTGAATGAGCGGACCCTTGAAGGCCACCCTGGCCACAGGGGCGGGACAGACGAGTGCCTGGCCGTCGCAAGAGCGGCCTGCTGGTCATCCCAGCGCGGCTGGGAGAGGGGCGAGACAGGCCCGCCGTCCATCAGTGCCCACCGGCCAATCCGCAGGCGGCCCCGCCCCCGCCCCTCCCCGCAGAGGGCGCCTGGAGGACCCGCCCCCGCCGCCGCCGCCGCGGGTGTGAGGCGGCCCGGCCGGGCCTGGCTCCCTCCGCCGGGCAGCCTGCCCAGGTAACCGGGTCTGGCCGGGGGAGGGCGCTTCGCACCCTCACATCCCCTCCCGGTCGCTGCGTGGGCGGCGCTTGGGACACTGGGGCTGCTCCCGTGCGGGACCGTGGGTCGGCGGCCGCCAGTGCGTGCGCGCCCGGCTGACTGGCGGGCCGGCGCGGGGCCTGCGGCCTGTGGCGGGGCCGCCGTGCGTGACGGGGCCGGTCGTGGTCGGCCGGCTGTGTGCGGGGCCGCGTGAGAAAGCTCTGCGGGGCAGAGGGCCGGGCGGGCCGACCGGCGAGCGCGCGGCGCCCCGCCGCCATCGCGCCCCGCCTGCGGCCTGCGTGGGGGTCGCGGGGCGCAGGCGCAGCGGGCCGGCGGGCGGGGGGTCCTCCCCACGGGCGCGCGGGAGCCTTTGTTCCCGGCGCGCGGGCGGGGCGGGGCCTCCGGGACGCCCCGCCCCGCCGCGCTCAGGTCCCGCCCCGTGTCCGCCCGCAGGAGCCGCCGCCGGGTCCCGCTCGCCGGCACCCTCAGCCGCCGCCGCCTCCTTCTCCTCCTCCTCCTCCTCCTCCTCCCCGGCCGGCCCGGCCTGCGCCGCCGCCGCCCCCAGCGCCGGAGCCATGGCGGGCGCCGCGTCCCCCTGCGCCAATGGCTGCGGGCCCGGCGCGCCCTCGGACGCCGAGGTGCTGCACCTCTGCCGCAGCCTCGAGGTGGGCACCGTCATGACTTTGTTCTACTCCAAGAAGTCGCAGCGGCCCGAGCGGAAGACCTTCCAGGTCAAGCTGGAGACGCGCCAGATCACGTGGAGCCGCGGCGCCGACAAGATCGAGGGGGCCAGTAAGTGCGCCCCCACCCCGCCTGGGGCCCGCCGCGCGCGGGGGCGGCGGGGGTCCCGCCCGCTTCCCCGGGTCCCGGCCCGCCGCCGAGGGACTTGGGCAAACTTTCGCGCGCCCTCCCACGCCCTCCGGGTCCTGCCCCCGCTTCGTCTCGGGTGGTCACTGGGGGCGGGGGCATCCGGGTCCTCGGTCACCTGACAAGACACCCCCTCCCCCGGCTGGGGGGCAGTGTTCCCAGCGTTTTGCCCTGAGGCCTAAAAATCCTCCCTGGCTGGAGACCGGCGGGGCAGGCAACGGCCCGCATCCCCTAGGAGTGGTGTGGCGGCGGCGAGGGGAGCCGAGGCAGTGGCCCCCACCCAGCCCGAGAACCTGGGTCCAGACCAGACGGTCACCGCCCACCACTCTTTCTCCAGAAAGAGCAGTCTGGGAAACACTCTGGGCCCTCAGGCTGGGCTCTTATTTGCAAAGGAACCTTTGGGTTCCCCAAGTAGAACTTAGGCAGATGTTGGGGTAGGGCTGGTCTTGGAGCAGAGCTGGGCCTACTCATCTCCCCCGTGGGGAGAGGGAGAAAGGTGGTCTTGTTTTTGTTTGGAAAAGCCTCAGAGAAGGCAGTGGCTGTATTTTCTTGCTGCTTCTTTTGTCCCAAAGCTGAGTTTTGGAGGCCTGTGTGGGTGGGCAGACACCCAAAGCCAGGGCAGGGACTCCCCTTGCCCTTGGAAGCACGTTCCTGGGAGCTTGGCCCCAGAAAGGCCAGCCCAGTACCCTGGAGTCAGGTACTCCTCTCAAGAGTGTGCAGCCAGTTTGAGGACTAGCCCTTTGTGTCTTGTGTCCGGCTCTTCTTGGTTTCCTGCCTCTTCGCCTTCCCAGGCCTGAGCTTGGCTGCTTTTGTGCAGATCTCTGATGGGAGGAGGGAGTTGGGGGATTTTGAAAAAGCCCAGATCTTTCAGAGTGTTATGCCACTTAGCACGTGCCTGTGCCGGGGCCCGATGGGCACTCAGCTCTGCCCTCCAGCCCCCAGCGTGAAGAGACGATGTATCTGTAACCCACAACCCCAAGACAGTGGGTTGCTTCCTGCACGGACCCCTAGAGACTGGTGTGAGAGAGACCCAGGCTCAGAGCCAGGTTGGTGTGGAAGAGGGGGATCGGGAACTGACACTCCAAGGGAGGGTCCTGCAGACCTTTTGGGTATGGTATGCATGTGTGTAGATGGGCAAGGAGGTTGGGAGGAAGGAAGATCTTGTGGTGAGGGCAGCCATCCTTAGCTAACAGACTCCATATCTGACATAGATCTGACACAGCTGCTGAACTTAGAAAAGGCAGCCACCTTCCTCAGTGCCCTCATTGGCCCTGTCAACCGTTGGGAGAACATTTTAGTGATTTGAGAGACTGTGGATTCTGAAGTGGAGGAAGGAAGACACTGCAAAGAGCTAGGATAATCTGAGAACGTCACCCAGGAATCAGACTCCAGGCACAGTCTCCTTCCTTTTGTGGTGTTCCCTATTCTGTGCTGAGTTGTGGCACTGGCTAGAGGTTCCCAGAGAGAGATCTCCTGGTTAACAGGCTGCATTTTAAACCACTAATATGACTAGCAGGCAATAAATGTAGCACAGGTGCTGAAGGCAAATCTGGATTTGAAGCCCATAGTATTAGTTGAGTGTCTCCCGGCCATTTACTTCTCTGAGCCTTGGTTTCCTCATCTGTAAAATGGCAGTATTAATATATCTACCACATAGGATTGCTCTGGGGACTAAATGAGAAAACTGATGCAAAACATGTAGCAGTGCCTGACATATTGTAAATGTTTAATAAATGTGAGCTGTTATTAATAATAACAGTAACAATAATAGACTATGACTGCCCTCTCAGCCCCTGGACTGGGAATGTTTAGAGAGGTGGAGTGTGGCTGTAGGAGAGGGTTAGGGTGCAGGAAGGGAGGAGGACGTCGGGACCAAATTCACGTTTAACTTAGATCGCTACTCGGAAAAAGGCAGGAAATGGTTTTGTTTTGCTCCAACCCATGTACCCACCCACCCATCATATAGAACAGTGTTTCTGTAGAGAAAGTGTTTGGAGCTTTGCACATTTGACTCCTGGGTATGACTTTCTTATTTGTAAGCTGGGGCCTGAACAGAAAGGAGGGTGTGAAGAGAGGATGATCTAGTGTCTCGGGTCTTTGGGGGATGTAGGCAGGAATGTGGGAGGACCTAATCACTCCACCCCCACGGGAGGGTCAGCCAGAGGTGTACGAATTCTGCGATCTCATCAGTGGCTGAGGTTTGAGAGGCCTCAAAGGTACGCAGAGGATGTAGAGGGGCCTGGCTCTTGATTTGGGGGGCACAAATTGAAGGAGCCTGGGTAGAAAGGCTAGTAGATGCTTGTATAGAGTTCAGACTTTGCAAATGGAGCCTCCCGCTGAAGCCCTGCCTTGCTTCTGCCCATCCATGGGCTCACCTCATTGGTGGGTTCTGATCCCTACAGACTCTCAGGAGGGTTGAGCTGCCAGTTGGGTCCCCTGCCACCTGGGCTCTTGCCCAATTGCCTCAGGTGTGTGGCCTTTTCCCGCTGACCCTGCCAGGGTACCATGGAGTGCCTAAAGCCTGGCCGAAGAGAGAGAGAGACACTGTGCTACCCTCAGGGTGGCAGTGGACCTGAGGGAAGGATGGTGTGGTTCAGTGAAGGGACACAACACTCATGTGTAAGGGCTTGTTCTGTCCTCTGTGCCCTCTCGGTTTACCACTTGTGAAAGGGGGCTGGCACCTGCTGGTTTCCAGGGCAGTAGTTTGGCTCAAAAGAGGGGTGGGGAAGTTCTCTGTTGCTGACAAGGTTGGTTGTCCTGGTGGTGTGACAGAAACCAGGTTTGTGTTTGGCCTTTTTACGTTGCAGAGACTGACATAAGTGAATAAAAAGCAGTTATAGGCCAGGTGTGGTGGCTCATGCCTTTAATCCTAGCACTCTGAGAAGCTGAGGCCAGAGGATCGCCTGAGCTCAGGAGTTCAAGACCAGCCTGAGCCCTGAGCAAGAATGAGACCCTCTCTCTTCTAAATACAGGTAAAATTAGCTGGGCATCGTGGCATGCATGTAGTCCCAGCTACTCGAGAGTCTGAGGCAAGAGGATTGCTTGAGCCAGGAGTTTGAGGTTGTTGTGAGTTAGGCTGACTCCATTACACTCTAGGCCAGGCGGCAGAGTGAGACTGTCTCAAAAACAACAACAAAAAAAGCAATTATAGACCTCCAGCTGAGCACTATAGAGACTTTTCATCCTGTTTTCTTGCCTAATCCTCACGAGGCCCTGGGGTGGTCGGGAGTACCATTCCATTTTACAGATGAGGAAACGGAATTAGAGTGATTTGTGCCACGGTGATAGTACCGGTGTGTGCCAGCGTATCACCTGGGCCCAGCTCTCCAGTCAGTGGCTAACTGGCAACCCCAAGATGACTCTGAGCCCTGGGGTTTTGCTGCCCATGGGCTCAGGCCCCATGTTCCATGTGATTCACGTGGCTCTGCTGTGAGCAGAAACCTCTGTGCTCAGTCCGTGCGTTACAGAGCAAATACCCCTTTGGCTTTTGCATTCCAAGACAGCCTCAGCCTCTCTAGGCTCTGGCGCACTTTTCTTCTGGTGCCTTCTCGGGTGAGATGGTTCAGATCCATGTTTAGTGAGGTTATTCAGTCAAGGGTCTTTGTGAGCACAAATAACCATGGGTGGAGACTCTCCCAGTACCATCTGTGGGAACTTTTGGAGCTTCCATCTTTGGCCCCTGAGTTGGTGAATGAAAATGATCCTTGCCTTCAGGGAAACTAAAACAGACGATTGCAATTCTGAGTGGTACCTTTGGTGGTGGGGTTGGTGGGACAGCTATCCGCCTTGATGAGGCACATGGGCTCAGGGAGGAGGTGGTATTGGAACTAGCTGGCTGGGGCTTGACTCTGTAGCTGTGGGTATCATACTGGTGAGGAGAGGAGAAGACCAGACATGGAGGCCTGCCCTAAGGGCTAGGCCTGCAGTGCCAGGGGGCAGACTGGTGTCATCAGGGGTGTTCTTTGTACCAGCTGGTA